AAAAATTACTAACAAATAGACGTACGTTTATAATATACAGGTTAAAACAAAAAAATGTTTTTTACCATAAGTTTAAGACACTCTGTAGAATGGCAAAACCGTATTTTGTTCTAAATTAAGTTTTAATTATCAAGTCACATCCATTTTTAACAGTTTTGTTTTTGGTTCACCTTGATATATTTATTTTTGTGGAAAATATGGATTTAAAAAAACATTGCAATTTCCAATATTTTTTCTGTACGAAGAACTAAGGTTGCTATGGTCCATGGCCTTTGGAGGATGACAGTGACAGTTTTGTTGAATCATCTCATACTTGGACATGTCATATACGGCCTTCAAAAGCTATCAAATTGTTGTTTTGTAAATTAATGTATTAATTTTGAGGTGTCTTCTTACTTTTAAAAATGGATATGTCTCCGACTGATGTTGCCTTTTTGTACTTTACTTCTTGTGGCGTTTAAAACATTTGCCACAAAATACTGTGACCGTTCATCCTGAATTAAATCAATGGCTCTGGCAACATCAGTCGGAGAAATACCCATTTTTAAAAGTAAGAAGACACCTCAAAAATAAAACATTAATTTGCAAAAAACAATTTTATAGCTTTTGAAAGCCGTATATGACATGTCCAAGTATGGAATGATTCAACAAAACTGTCACTGTCATCCTCCACAGCTTATGGATGACCATAGCAACCTTAGTTCTTCGTACAGAAAAAATATTGGAAATTGCAATGTTTTTTTTTTTTAAATCCATATTTTCCACAAAAATAAATATATTGAGGTGAACCAAAAACAAAACTTGATAATTAAACCTTAATTTAGAACAATATACGGTTTAGCCACTCTACAGAGTGTCTTAAACTTATGGTAAAAATCTTTTTATTTAAACCTATATATTATAAACGTACATCTGTTTTTTAGTAATTTTTAAAATGTGAGCGATTCTCCATAAATTTATCTACAATATTCTTTAATATTCGTTTAAATCCGACATTAAATAAAAAAGTAATATGCGATTGAAATTCATCGAAAATTTGTGTGGATCGATTATTTTGCCTGTGAGTATATCTACAAGGTCGGTTAAATTAGATAAAAATTGACAACAAAAATCAGCGGTTCTTAAATAATTAAAAAAAAACTAAAAACATAACTTCGTTATTCCTGGTAATTTTGGAAAAAGTAACATTTATTTACATTTTCATCCAATTTGTTGTTTTTTGCCCACTAGATTTTAAGTTACCACAGCCATATTTTGTTTTTCCAATCCAACGATGTATTAAACTGGCTATCAAGTTATGGCGGCCATTATAAAAACAAAAGATGATACTGGTAACTCAAATTATAGCAGCGAAGAAATTGTATGAAAATATAGATAAAAGTGTATGTTTACATGTTAAACTTAGTTTTTTTTAAATTCCTGGAAACAACGAATTTAAAACGATTTTTGGTTTTGAAACGTTTTTAATGTAATTACTAATTACTAATTAGGCTACTTTTCTCCAATTTTACCGACCTTGTAGCTCTTTAAATTAAAAAAATATCCATTGAAGTATACACACAGAAGGATACTTGGTTCATCCTGCATACTATATAGTGTATACTATACTATATAGTGTATACTATACACTATATAGTACACTGTATAGTATAGATCAGCCATACTTAAACTGCAACCCGCCAACCCTTTCTTTGTTGCCCGAAGCCTAGCCACAGTAATTTTAAGATAAAAAAATGCCCACATAATGTGGAATACTTTTTCTTACACAGTCTTGTGAGATAAAGAAGGGCAAATTTTTTTCTTAATATGACGAGATTTGTATTGCTTGTGGAGCGGCCAAGTACAGTAAAGTAAAGTAAAGTAAAGTAAAGTAATTTATTGTCCACAAATTACCTAAAAAGGTATTGGATTAGTCCAGGTTACATAGTAATAATTACACATAATTAAGACTAAATTAAAACAAAAAAACAAATATTTTAAATTACAGTATTTAAGTATTCCCCAACACTCCCCAAAAGATTTTTGAATTAAAAACTGGTGCAGTTTTCTTTTAAAAATATTTATATTGTTTATACATTTTATGTGTTGGGGAAGTTGGGGAAGTTGGGGAACTCCGGCATATACAGGATTTTGCTCATATGTGCTAGTACTGTGTTTAGGAATCCTGTATTCATTCCGGGATCTAGTGTTGTACGTGTGATCATATTTGTTGGTAATAAATAAAGATGGGATATTTAGGTACTAAAAACTGAAAAATAGGTAACTAAAAAGGTACTAAAAAAAGCATTATAGGTTAAAAAAGGCATTTTAGTTAAAAAAAAAACATTAAAAGTTCAAGTTTCGTTTATAATTTTGTTTAGCCGCATACCCAAACACAACATACCCACAATAAACTATTTCTATGCAATAAACTGTGTTTCACTGAGTGACACTCACTACACAGAAGTTCTATGACAGAACATAAGCTCACTACAAAGAAGGTAACTGTAAAGAAAGTTGTTACAGTCTGTGACCATAAGAAAAAATTATATACTGTTAAGTTGCACGCCCTGGATAAAATATTAGGGCAAAATTTAAAAAGAACACAAAAAAATTAAATAAGTAAAAATACGTAAAAATAGGTAACAAATAGATAAAAATAAATGGACAAATTAAAAAATATGGAACAAAAGTATAAAAAGGTAGTTTAAAGCAAAAACCTCCAAAAAAGGTAAAAAAGGTGAAAACAAGTTAGGTTCATTTAAAAGAAAATCTTTTAAAACACATTTTGGCATTATTGGTTTTCAAATAGTTACATCGCGATGCATCGGTTGAAAAAAGGTAAAATAACTAAAATCCCATCCCTAGTTATAAATAAAGATGAATTACTTTTAACAAAAAGTAATACCTTCTTAATATAAATACACGGTATTGTTAATATATTTATTTCCTTAAAAATGCTTCTACAGGATTCTCCAAAACCCATACCAGCTAAGTTTCGTACGGCTCTCTTTTGCATTTTAAATACTTCTAAAGCATTTGTAGATGATCCCCAAAATAGTATACTATAACTTACACATGAGTAAAAATGTGCATAATAATATGAACTAATAACGCTTCTATTAACTATGCTATTGAGCCTATAACAAACATAACAAACGCTAGATAATTGTTTACATAATTCAGTTATATGATATTCCCAACTTAAGCATTCATTGAGATAAATTCCCAAAAATTTAGTGTTTTTAACTTGCTATATAGATTTGTTATTGATTTTTAACAGTTGACTTTCGGGATTTTGCGAATTTTTAAATTGAAAGTTCATAAAAAGAGTTTTATCGGTATTTACTAAAAGCTTATTTTCCTCAAACCACTGCATAAGAATATTTAGTATATTTTGGGCACTTAGAACTGAATTAAGTAAAGTGAATGCAGATGAAAGATATGAAGTGTCGTCGGCAAATATGACTAAATTTTCTTCATTTACAATAAAAGATACGCAATGGAGTCTTTCCAACTTTGACTGTGACGAGTCTGAAACTTTTCGAATTAAAGTTATAGAATACACGGCGTTAGACGTTTTTGAAAGAAATATAGTCGCGGGACGCGAGTAGGCAAACACCCTCAAACAGTCATTTGTTAATGTTAATCTTGTGTCTTGGTATAAAATCCCTGGCACCTCCAATCCGCCGCTATGGAAAAACTTGCTGAATTGGGGTTTGATAACGCAAAGTTGTGGAATAAATTTATTGAATTTAAAACCGACTCAAATCTTTAAGCAATTTTTAAATAAACAAAATAAATAAAAGGATAGGAAGAATTTTGAAAATTAGTACCTAGGTAGCGGGTACCTGGTAAACGATAACTATGATACGCTGAAATGAAATATTGGACGCAATCCAAGACAAGGAACTTCGCCTTATGTAAAATTTGATTTTTGGATGCTATAGGTATCTTTTCTCGGATCGCGTCACGTATCCAAAAAATGCCTAGGTAACAATCAGAATGTCATTTATTTTGAAATAAATGATAACGTTTAAGTGTTGAGTTTTATAGTAATATTGGTCATTGCAGCCCGCCTGATGTAGCAGTCATAAGTCATAGGGCCCAAGAAAAAAGTTTAAGTTGGTGAATGAATTTCACGGCATGGGCGTTTTCTTTACAAGGTTTTCAGATTAAAAGTTTGTAATTAAATAATATTAATGTACAGTGAAAGCTCCGTTTGGGGTCATGTCTTAAAACCGGACAATTTTGGAACCATGTAATCAGTGTAAGGGGAAGGTGAGTCAGGGGCGTAGCTACCGCGGTATCAGCCGTATCAATGATACGGGGCCCCCGGCAAAGGGGGGCCCCCGATTGGCTTCGACATGAGTAAGCAAAAAACATATTACCCACATGTTAAAAAAATTTTGGCATGGAATTAAATAAATAAATTAATAATACTATTATTTAATTGTTTATACTTAGATTTATTAAATTTAAATTTTTCTGAACCATCCTGTTCCCACTAAACACGAATGCTTAATTGTTTTAGTTATTTATTGTAGAAAAAACGTAATTACATAAAATTATACTGATAAACAATTCAAAATCATCATTTATAAAAAGTTTGGTAAAATCCTGAAAAATTTCATAAAATGTCAATGTAAACGCTTAATACCTATCTCAAGAAATATCAATCTTAGCGATTCAACTGATAGGATCTTTTTTAAAGAAAATTTTCTACAAGTTTGTTCTTTACATTTTGTCGATGAAATATCTTCAAAAATATGCGAGTTTTTCACTAAACATTATTTTACTACCCGATTTCATAATAAAAAAACTGTTTATATTAACATAATTGTTTTATTTTGGTTCACACACTTAAGTAATGCAAAACACTAAATTTGGACTAGTTTATGGGAACTTTAAAAAACAAACATCAAATTAAGAATGCCTATAATTTTTTGACATTTTGCAATTATTACAAAACAATACAGAATGACCTTTATAAAATAAATAATTATGAATTATTTTTTCAGATTTCAGACCACAATGGAAAGGTATCACATATTTAAATTAGGTAAGTTGGTTTAATCTTTATCTATTTATTTGTCAATCCTTATACTATTAATTATTTTATCTTTAAATCTTAAATCAGAATGCAATTAACAAGTTAACAAAGGTTTTTATCCTTCATACTGAACGATTTTTGGTATTTAATTGAACCCAAACATACAGAGCCTTGAAGAGATTAATTGGTATTAAGATAAAACTATGTTCACTCATCTGGTAAATTACTGTTGCAATTTTGTATGTTTTATGCATATAAACTAATAAATTACCAAAATGTATAATTGTAGGTTCTAGGTTAAAAAATAATGTTATGTGATGAACCAATTTGAAATATCAAACTTATAGCTCTGTTGAACATCCGTCGATTAACATTGGCTATACAATCGGCATTACAATCTCCTTGAAATATTTTTCCGCTACACGAGAAGAGTTTGCTTCACAAAATTACAACATGAGTTTTGATAGATGGTATAACGAATGTATGCATATAGACGAGGCATTCCATTCCAAATCGACCACTTTGAAATCTTCTATTGTTTCAAGCCGAATGCCTTTTTATGTTTTCAATATTTTCGTTTTTAAATAAACCTTAAAGTAGTAAGTAGTTAAAAAAACACCAAGTAGGGGAAGGTGGGGGAATTTTGCGCGGTGGGTAATTTTACGCATAAACAATTCTTCCAGATATGAAGTAAATAATACATTTTTTGAATGTTGCAAACTTGGAAACGTTGCTTTGGGTATACGGGGACTAAAGTGTACCGCAATTATGGTGATACATGTACGTTGATCTAAGAAATCCATGTCGTTTCCGCTACGAGTTAAGTTTAAATTTCTGTCCAATCGCTTAAATGTTTATAACACAACTTTATATGATCTTTCCTCGTAATCTGGTGTATGTTTAAATTGTTCAGGTTAACTTTTGGAATGTTTTTTAGTATCACAATATTTTTCTTGCAATGGGGGTAATTTTGCGCTGCAAAATTTGGCCAATATGGGAGTTTTTGGTACAGGAGCCTAGATTGTTCATCATAAACAGTTCCATTTGGGCACACGCGGAGTGTGCGTAAAAAACAACCCCTAAAACTACATATGTGACAACTGCTGCATGTAGACCCTCTTATTTCTAAGAACAAAAATTTTATTTTTAGTTATTTATTTTTGATCTTGTTTGTTTTGTTTGTTTCATAGAGAAAATAGTTTTGTTTTAATCTAATAATATTATAGAAATAAACGGTTTATTTAGATACCTACAAATCTTTCTCTATACAGCGCAAATTTTCCCCCCATGATGCGCAAAATTATCCTGATAGGTGGGTAATTTTGCGCAAATGCATTATTTAAAAAAATGTAGTTTTTGCATACCAAACAATTTTTTTTTATAAATTGCGCATTATATACACATAGTAAACATAGTAGACTATCGCTGGTATTATTTCCAAAATTTCACATTTAAACTTAACAAAGATACTAGAGATTTTGCTTAGATGCGCAGAATTCCCCCACCTTTCCCTATAGGTTTTTTAAATTTAATGAGTGTAACACTTATTATTTATTAAAAAAACAGTTTATTATATAGGTACCATATAATACAATTTAAAGAACCACAAAACTTAAGTAAAATATTCTTCGTGGGATTTGTTATGAAGGGATGATGGGACTATATGGAATAGGTTTTTTATACATTTTTGAGTTGTGTGGTACCGGGTGTTTACCTTGAAAATATGTCTGATGGTGTTGTAATGTAATGTAATCCAAAATGTCCACCATTTTCGACATTCATTTATAAAATGCCAAATAATTAATTTTATTGTGCCCTTTGAAATAAATTACATTTGATATTTTTTGATTGTCATATGACCGTGTATCGAAACAATTTGTATAATTTTATGGGCCGTCAAATTTGATGGCCCATCAATTTTTTTAGCCTCTAGCAACAGTGACTTTTTTAAATAAAACTGTTTTTAGCAAATTTCAGTAGTTTCATTGCTTGCTTATAAATTAAGAGTGCCTTGACTTTATCAATTAATGTTTCTATAGAACTGTCAAAAGTTTTAAAGATTTTAATACTTTTTATTTCTTAATTTAAGGTATGTTTTTTTATTTAAATTTGATTTTATATAGTATTCTATTGAATTTAAAACCATTTTTAATTTCTTAATACTCAATTTTAACAGTTTTCTTTTAAAATAATTACTATTACCTATTTAATTACCATTTCCTGTTAATTATAATTTATTACACTGGTTTACAAGGATAAAATAGAAACTTTATTTGACATTTTTTAGGGTGATTTTGGTGCTCTAAACACAAAAAACTTTTCTTATTTGGCCCATTCACCTAGATGACGGTATACATTTTTTTTATCTCAAATAGTTAAGAAAATATTGGCTTTTAAAACTGACATATTGTTATATTTTTGAACTTTTATGAGCTCTAACTCATCTATTTTTGATTCGATTAAAACCATGTTTTTACGGTTGGATGCGAAATTTAACCACCTTTCAAACCATATATCGGATTTGGCATATATCGGATTTATCTTAAATTAAAAAACAAAAATATATATTTTAAAAGCCAATATTTTCTTAACTATTTGAGATAAAAAAAATGTTTTAAATCATTTTTTTTCTTTTTTTAAGGTTATTTTAAGAAATTCTATATTTTTTTTAATAGGACCACTAATTACGAAATTATGCGACATTTTATAAACGCATACCTGAAATAACAGTTAGGTATCGGAATAATGACGTCATAAAAAATTGACACATTTTTAAACAAAACACCCGATAATACACTACTGCCTTGTGCATAAAAAACTGACTTCAGATAGTTTCATCTTCCCTTCAAAAAAAAATCCCACGGGATGCACTATGCTCCAAAACTATATAATGTTGCCACAGAATAAAAGATTCGGATGATGATTAGTTATATTTATTTTTTCAAAGTTTTGGATATTTTTTAGGCCTTTTTGGTTTGTATGTGTTAATTTTTTTTATTTATATGAAATACTGTTTCGATATTACTTTATTGTTTTTGTTTTTTCCCACAACAATCACAACGGCGGTCTAGAAAATTAATATTTCTTTGATAGTTTGAGTAAACAGTGACACTTAGCACTGACAAAATATTGTAAATGAAATACTAAAAATATGTATTTTTAAATGAAATTTGACAACCCCCCAGAGCAAATCCTGCGCACGGCCCTTTAAGTAAAGTAATTAATTGCTAAAAAACGATTAAAACAAAGATCTGTATCACTTGAATTATTTTAAAAGCACTTTTACTCCTACTTTCACATAGAATACAACTATTTTAAAAGCATTGTTAACACTGTGAAATATCTCTAATTATTGTATGAAAATAGAAGGAAGAAAATTAATCACTTGGTATGTAACTCCCGAGGATGGTTATTAACACTTACACAATAGGTGTATTTACCAAATTAAAAAATACTTATTCTTAAGATATGTTGGGTAATACTTGATCTACGATTATAATTTTATATCAATTTGGAATAGGTATTTATAATTAATTTTCTTTTGTTTAACATTTGCGGCGGATTTATAACCTTTTTGTGATTCTTTAAGATTGCATTTATGCAAAAACATGTTACTTTTTCTATTCCCACTTTTAAAACGTTCATAACACTGTGCAACACCAAAAATCAAACCGCACCGGACTATTTTTTTCTGAAAATATACCTATCCAATAGCAAAACCCTCGCTGGGTTTGTAAAAGTTAGCTCGATTTATTTTTTTATGGCCGTTTGTATTTTCTAGCTTCATATACCCCAATTCAGACTTATTAATCGATTTTTTTCGCATATATTCGATTTATATCGTCAAGATTTTTTGTAGAAATGTAGTAACTGAACAAATAAACCCATTTTGTGAACAACCTATATCCCAAAACCCAATTTTTGGGACCAAATATTCGAAAAAAAAAAATTTTTTTCAATTTTTTTCGATAAAATTTAAAATTTCTTGCTACTTCTTCTGGCAAAAATGTTGTAAAGTATACTAAAAGAAGTAATTTATAAAATACGCATACAAAATTGTACTTTAAGTTTACTTATTTGCTGGAAAACAATTTTTTAAACAAGATTTTCCAAAATATTCATCTTTTCATACTCAACACCAATCTTTTTGCCGAAATCTTTGGAAAATCTGTAGTAAAAAATTGAATAGATAAAATAAAATTGTAGAAAAGTACAGAGTTTGATTTTTTATTTTGTATTAATTTTATTATTAAATTTTTTTTTATATCAAAACATTGAGTAATCTGATTCATTGCTGGAGAATTCCATACCTTCCACTTCTTCTCCTTTATTTTCTTATTCTTCATTTTCATTTTTTGATTCATCACTGGAGAATTCCATCCGTTCATTTCATATATTTTTTATATTCATTTCATTTCAGAAAACTTTGACAGGGCCTTGGTTGACAATGAGATAGTTGCGTGGGCGTCGATAAGAGAAATCATCGTTGGATTTTTAGGCAAACATCGTTCTCCCAATTATGAAGGATCTGTGCGACGAATGTTGGATGTTTTTTTCCAAAATTGGAGTCAATATGTCGCTAAAAATTCATTTCCCTCATCGCCATTTGGACTACTTCAGTCGACAGTTATCGACACAATCATCAAACTGCGATGCCATTTGAGTCCAGATAAAGAGGAAAACGAGCTCCAGATGCCATACTAGCCGAAACATTTTGGTGAAGTAAACATATTTTTGACTACGATCAGAAAGAAAATGAAAATGAAGAACAAGAAAATAAAGGAGAAGAAGTGGAAGGGATGAAATTCTCCAGTGATGAATCAAAAATGAAAATGAAGAGCAAGGAAATAAAGGAGAAGAAGTGGAAGGGATGGAACTCTTCAGCAATGAATCAGATTACTCAATGTTTTGATATAAAAAAGTTTTTTAATAATAAAATTAATACAAAATAAAAAATCAAACTCTCTGTACTTTTCTACAATTCTATTTTATCTATTAAATTTTTTCCTACAGATTTTTCGGCAAAATATTTGGTGTTGAGTGTGAAAAAATTTTTTTTCTAATATTTGGTCCCAAAAATTGGGTTTTGGGATATAGGTTGTTCACAAAATGGGTTTATTTGTTCAGTAACTACATTTTTACAAAAAATCTTGACGATATAAATCGAATATATGCGAAAAAAATCGATTTATAGGTCTAAATTGGGGTATATGAAGCTCGAAAATACAAATGGCCATAAAAAAAAAATTCGAGCTAACTTTTACAAACCCAGCGAGGGTTTTGCTATTGGATAGGTATATTTTCAGAAAAAAATGGTCCGGTGCGGTTTGATTTCGATGACCCGAAAATTGTCGCACAGTGTAATCGCACATGTTTTTATGACACTAGGTGACTTTTTAAATACACATTGACAAGTTGTGACTTTATAGCGTTTTAGTCACGGGCTGAAGTTAACAATTGTCAACTGTTAAAATAAAGTGCCCTTTTAGTAAAATAATACCAAATGTAAAAATTATTTTATTATCTCAATACAAAACTAGAAAAGTATTTGCCAATATTTGAAAAGTTTATATGAACATTGTACTGACCTTTTAATTTCACCCGCAGTAAACTGGATTTAACTTTAAAAATGTGCCCATAAAACATTTTCTTCGCTTTTACCGTAAAAAAACTGGTTTTATATTAAACCATAGAGTATATAGATTTAAATGGTGGTTGGTCCATTTTGATTTAGACATAAAAATTTAACATTTTCACCGGCGAGCCGGTAATACAGATTCCCAAAAATGGTTTGTATTGTTTTATAGATGTCGTTCTAGACAAATATTTGATTTAAATAATTTTTAGATAATAATTATTTGTCGTAGAAAAACTATAGTATGCAACTCGTTTATAAACTTTTCTAGACACTCATTTAAATAAACATTCGCTCGCAAGCTCGCTCGGGCCCAATTAAAATTCGTGACTAAAATGGCGTTTATCAAACTTAATACATAATATACTATTAGGGGCCGTCCATAAATAATGTCTCGCACTTAGGGGGGTGGGGGGTCGTCGGAAATGTGACAGTTTGTGACAGACAGTGGAGGGTGGGTAAGAGTTTTTTATATTAATAAAATGCAAATATTTAAATGTTAATTGCATGTTATTTATTGCAGATTTCAGTGTGATGTTTTTCAAGTGTGAGAAATGTTAAACAAATAAATTTATTAATTTTTGATTGTCCATTTTAAAAAGGTATTTATATATTTATAATCTATTTTAAATCATAGCTCCTTGATTTTTTATATGTTTATATTGCAACTACTTTTTTTCTATCTAGACCATCTTCAGGCAAAATTGTCGAAGTTAAATTTGCGCATAATCTCGAGTGTAATACTATACTTTATCTACTCCAATAAGTAGATAATTAAATGATTTTCAAAATTAAATAAATAAAATCTGACATCTGAGGTTAACCTCACTTTTTACCAATTTTAAACCCGATTGGTTCAAATCACTAATGCCTAACAACGAAATGAGTTTATTATTCACGTTGTTAGGCAGGAAATTTATAATGTTTAACAATATTCAAGAAAAAAACCCAAAATTAGGCAATAGGAGTATATAATAAGTATATTATGTATCAAGTTTGATAAACGCCATTTTATACACGAATTTAATTTGGGCACGAGCGAGCTTGCGAGCGAGTGTTTAAATTAACGAGTGTATAGAAAAGTTTATTAACATGTTAATAAACTTTTCTATGCAAGGTGCATACTGTACTTTTTCTACGACAAATACTTATTATTATCTTAAAATGATTTAAATCAAAAATTTGTATAGAGCGCCATCTATGAAACCATAGGGGAAACTGTGTGTCACCGTCAAATGTCACATTTTTTTATTTTATAAACACAATTATAAAGGTTATAAATCGAATTGTATTTCTTGAAAATTGACAGTTTTTCACAGTGAAAGTAAAGAAAATTTTTTATGAGGACTTTACAGTAGAGTCCGTGCCCGAATTTAAGTTATAGTTTACTGCCGGCGAAATTAAAAGGTTATTACAATGTTCATATAAACTTTTCAAATATTGGCGTTGAGAAACTATTTAATACTTTTGTATTGAGATAATAAAATAATTTTCACATTTAGTATTATTTTACAAGAAAGGCACTTTATTTTAACGATTGTAAGACATTTGACAACTGTCAACTAACTTAAAACTAACTTCAGCCCGTGACTAAAAACCTGTTGCTAACTTCAGCCCGTGACTAAAGCGCTGTAAAGCCACAAATTGTCAATGTGTATTTAAAAGGTCACTTAGTGTCATGGAAACATGTACGATAAAGGGCGTTTTAAAGGTGGGAGTAGAAAAAATATTTTAAATTCCATATGACATTTCGTTAACTGTTATCTGGGTTGCCTAACAATTAACAATAATCAATTATTACAATTATGCTAGGCTTTATTGCTTAAATGGATTGAGTAGGAAAATTTCCATAGATTCGGAAACTCTATGTAAGTTGCCCGTTTGTCTTTTGTGTTGCATTTTCTTATTGGCTCAATGATATTGGGTATTTCGTGTTACAAAAGCCAAAGCTTGTATTTTTGTTTTGTTAAGAAACTCCTGTGGTACTGCTTTTTTATTTTAATTATTATAAAATTTAGGTACGTATTTATTTCAGTGAATTTGAGATGACTATTTCATTAGAGTGCTTTACACTGGCAAAATATCATACGCTATTATAGCGGTTGCTATAATAGCAACCGCTTGTTTTCGAGCCGTTTTACAGGTTTACACGTTTTACACATTCTTACGAAAATTTCTTTTTAGACAAGCATCTTGTCGACCGGCCTAATGTTGTCTTGCTACGGGGGGCAGGGTGGGGGCGGTTTTTTTACATTCCCACAGTAAACTCGAAATAACCTGAGCAAAGTCTTAATTATTTCTAAATATTTATCTAATTTTAAAAAAATATTTTTTTTCCAGGTCTTGCCATACTCTTTTATGCAACGTATTGTATTGGACTTATGGTAAGTTCATAATATTAAATAATATATTATAGGATAATAATTATACAGTCTTTTATAAGCAGTGAGACAGAATAAAATCTCATATGGAAAATTCAATTTTAAACACAATATCAGAATTTTTTTTTTAGAACTTCTGCTTTGTATTTAAGTTATTTAAGTTTAAATATAAGATTTTGTATTAAAAGACACCCATATATTTTGTTTGATGGTTGTCAGTAATTGTGGAGCAATCGGATAAAAGGAGATAAATCAGTTTTAAGCAGTTTTGAGTTATCATCGACAAAACTATTTTTTTTGTTCGGCAACATTTACACAAAGAACAGTGATGGGCAAGTACCCTGTATATTAAAATTTGGGTAAATACCCAAGGGTAAATTCAGGGTGTATTCAATTTGGTATTTACCATATATACCCGGTATATGATAAATACCAAAGTATTGCTACTTTGTTAATTTAAGGTATACCTACTTTAATAAATTGAATTAGGCAATTTAAAAATAAAAAGTATTTAAATAAATCGAATAAAACGAAAAATAACGAACACATGTTAAAAAATACATTTTAATTTAAACAAAAAGAATTCCAAAAACAAGTTAAACAAATAAAAAATATTTATTATAAATTTTAATGCTCAATGCATTATTTTTAAATTATCGCCCGAGTATATCAGGATTATTTTTGCACATTTTTTTAAAAATAAGAAATTTGGCAATGACCCAGAAAAAAAGGAATACCCTATATAAATAAAAATACCTAATATTAATATAATCATTTCATGGGTTTTTAAACTTTTGTTCCCTAAATTTTTTTTTAGATTCCAGTAGTTTTTAAGATAAGTAAATGGTCACGTTACGTGGACCACTCTGTATATTTACTATTTTAATAATAAATAATTAATAAGCAATAAATTAAATATTTTTCTTGCGCGCTAAAGCACAAAAATTGTATTTTTCCACTTTTAGGAGTAAATTTATTACAAACATAAGAAACAAGTGGAGAGAATTAACACATTTGTATGATATTTTGTATATTTAGGATTAATTTAAATAATTCTGATAATTTTTAATAACAAAAAAATAATAGTAGTATTAATTTTACTAACATAACTAATGATAGTATTAATTTTACTAACCAGACTCTTTGTTTACTTAGGTTTACATGTGAAATAGCGATTCAAATTAGGTTCATAGGTAAATAATGTATAATCTCGATGCGGAACTACGACAGTGCCATTTAGGGAAATACCTACCCTAATTATAGAATAGAATTTCTCAACAAGTTGTCTACAATAACCGGATGGTAAATACCTGGTATAAACCGGGTAAATATCAGGTATATATCCAATGTTCCCCAATAGGTATCTATTCATATACCCATCCTGTCTACATATACCAGGTATATACCAAAATTTTATTTACCTACCAATTTGGTATTTACCCACCGTTGCGTGTTGCTTGAATTGACAGGATTTATCTCCATTTGCTTGAAATAGGAATAAAAATCAGATTTATCCATTCACCAGGATTAATCGGAAAAATTGTAATGCCATTTAAGTTCATTTAAAATAACAATAATATGAATTAATATTATTTTCATAAAAACAAGAATTTAAATTGTATTAATTTGGATTTATCTGCTTTTTCTTTGAGACCGGTATTTTATATCAATTACTTGGTTTAGCTCAATTATAAGTTCACCAATGGATTAATCTTACCTAATTTACTGTTAGTTTATACCTAACTCATTTTTCAACAAAACTGGATTTATCTGCTTTTGTCTGATTGCTCCACAATTATACTACTTTCTAAAAGTTTGCATCGCAAAATACAAAAATTTAAATTAAATGAATGTTAATTGTGTTTTTTTATGCAGAGCAGGGCCAAATACATGTAATATGTACTCTTGTACCTACCAAGTACAAAGTACTTTATATAATATCTGAAGAAGTAAAGTATTATCAAGTACTATACTAATTGCAAAGTACTTAAAATACAGTACTCCGAGTATAGTACTTAGTACTTACTAATTGTATTTCAAGAAAACACGTCACAAGACAAAAGTAGGGAAGTACCCCATTGGACAATCTTAAAAGTTTGCAGTAGAATTTTGAAACGGTGCCTGTAATGAGCCATCAGAAAAATCCATTTCAGGAGCCGACTCCTAGCGCAGTCAAACATATTTAGAAAAAATATTGCATTACTTTTTAGTTCAAGAATTTTCGAAATCGACCATGCGATTATAGACTTTTCCTCACTAGAGGAAATGCATTTAAAGCAACTTTATCACCCGTGAACCGATTTCCACCATGTGATTTTTTAAAATTTGTAACAAAAGACAGAATCTCAAAAATTTAATATGATATCTAACAGCATGCTTTATTCCACTTTGGTTGGTAAGGTTTTTATCAAAATCGGGGGTTTTTGTGCACATTTTTCAAACCTACTTCCACTTTCAAATTAAGAATAGGTATACCTACATATAAAGTTTTTATTATTTACCTCGATTTTTTTGAGTGATGACGCTGATGATTGAAGAAGTTCTGAATATAGCCACAGCACCAAATATTACGTTTTATGCTAAGATTGCAAAAATAGTTCAACTTAACACAACGCAACTTGAAAAAGTCCCGTGTACTTTTAGCAGAATGTTAAAAGTACCAAGTAAATATTCAAAAAAGTACTTCAGTAACAAGTACAAAGTACCTAAATTACAATATTTAAATACTTGTACTTAAGTACTGCCCAGCTCTGTTATTATGGGGGCATGATATACGGTATACCTATACAAAAGCTTATATTTAAACTTTAATAACTTAAAAACAACGCAAATATTGTATTTTTAATTTTGTGTTTTAAAATAAATTATCCTTTTAAAATTTCATTTTTTGTCACCAGTTGTATACAGAGCATGAGCACCAACGGTATTCTACGTTGTTGGGGAGACAAGTTTAATAAATACATATTTTTCAGTCAAGGGTTTAAGGGTTGAAAATTAAATTTTATTATATTTTTTTAGATTAATATTATTATTTATTTACATTAAAGGATTAAACATATTTTTTTTAATTTAAAGTAAGGTTCGTGGGTTTAGGACGTAAAAAAACAACTTCCTTTTTTTAAGAAAAATTGCCGACGTTTCGAAAATATTTTTTTCTTTCTCAAGGCTAAAAATAAATTCTATAAATATCTATAATAATAATTCGACTATTTTAACTCATTTTTAGCCTTGATAAAGAAATAAAAAATAATTTCGAAACGTCGCAACGCGTCGGCTATTTTTCTTAAAAAAAAAGGAAGTTTTTTTATTTTACGTCCTAAACCCACGAACCTTACTTCAAATAAAAGAAAAAAATTAAAGGACACTTCACATCATTGCAATTAAACATAATTTGTTAATAACTTTTCAAAAATCAAAGTTTTTAATAGTAACAAGGTTATGATAATTTAAAGTTCTATCAACTATGTTAACTTCAGTCGCTCCTAGATGCTCTGATTATTTTGTTTCCATAAAAACTCTCTTCCTGGGTGCCCCGAAAATAGTGCACAAACTCCACAAGGTGGTTATTTTAACCCAGATAGTACCAAAACTTTTTGTTTAAAAAGCAATTTTATTACTTTTGTTCCTTAAAAACTTCATTGCAAACATATTTTTAAAAGAACGCTGGCATTTTCTACCACTTTAATATAGTTTTTTGTGCTAAAAATAATTTTGTATGAAAGTTAATCCAACCAAAGTAATAAAAAATTATTTCGTAAGGTAAAGCAGAAATTTTGGTGAATGGTCACTTTGCATTTCTCCCAGATAAAGTTACAAGTTTTTTGACATAACCCACAGCGCATTTGTTTGTCTTGATTAGTTACTAAGTGATCTTTCCTATCGTTTATGTAAATTTAACGCTGATTTACTAGGGCCTCTTTTTGTATTCTTTCTATAAGATATTAAAATATTACGACTCTAAAGGCTAAATTATTAATTATAGGTCGAATTTTTGAAAATTTGTCAGTTCTATTCAAATTGCCATCATCATTAAAATACAAATTTTACATACATAATAAATAAAAATAAATTTCTAGCAATAACTTCAAATACATCTCCCACTCTCCCAAACCTAAACGTCTTGGCAAATCTACATACTTGCTCAAAAATAAAATACCCATAAAACACCGAATTGAATTACTTATATGTATGTGAGTTTGTGAAACGGCATAGTTTTTTAAACTGACGATTGTGAAAATAATTTAACAGGCGTCACCAATTATAGGATTCCAGGCTGGTAAATTTGGCATTTATACACTTTCTCTCTACTTTTTTGTTATGATTTTGATTTGTTGGTAGTGTTTTTGCTACTTTTGCAGACGTTCACACTGCAGGAATACCTTCGCTATGATATTCATCACTGTTCATCACATTCTACCAAAAGCTCCTCTAATTATCGAGTGTTCCTGCTTCTGCCCGCAGCTGACTGCAAAGAAGGTTATTTATGTCAACCGTATATTTAGGGCCCGAGTCTTCTTTGCTATTCTTACTGTTTGTAGCAGTACAGCTTCCTTTAAATCCTCCAGTTCTTCCATCAGTTCATGAAGTTTTAGGGGTTTCTTTTAAACTAAATATAAAACGATATTACTCCCTATTATACCACCGTTCTTTGTAAAGACCATCCACAATGTAATGGTAATAAAACCTCACAAATGAAGTTTTTTACTTTCAAATACCATGCATTCAAATATAATGTCTGTTTTCTACCATGTGTATAAAGGTTGAAAACTTAAATAAATAATTTGAACCTACCTCAAATTGTTCATGATGGACTTCTTCAGAAAATGATAAACATAGGCATATAATATTTAACCCATAATTAAAAGGCAATGGCTATGCTTGCTGAGTTTGCTTAAATATATAATTATTTTTTTATGTCAACTATGATTTTTACGTTAAAATAAGCCAGGTTTTTGGTTCAATTATCAATAAAATGTTTGATTCAAACATAAACAAATTATATATTTTTTAAATAAGAATAAAAAACTGTATCTAAATATTCAAAAATATACAGGATGTTCCATTGAAAAAAGCAATGTTATATCTATTTTATCCATTTTACTAGTGCTTTCTTGTTTTTTAATTTTTTTCAAAAAAATTACTTTTTTAAACCATTCAAGCTGGATTTTTTAAATTTTTTAATATCTCTTTAATTAACAATTTTAGAGGGGTGTCCCATTTACACGAAAATACCCTGTACAAATTTAATTTTTTTTATATTATGTACTATATTTATATATAAATATATTTTATTGTTTTTACTTTTACACATTTAAATGTAAAATTATTATTATTATAGTATAATATATACATATTATTATTATTATTATATTATAATATATACAATGTATAATGTATATTATACATATACACTCGCAGGCAAAATAATCGATCCACACAAATTTTCGATGAATTTCAATCGCAAATAACTTTTTTATTTGATGTCGGATTTAAACGAATATTAAAGAATATTGTAGATAAATGAATGAAGAATCGCTCACATTACAAAATTACTAAAAAATAGATGTACGTTTATAATATACAGGTTTAAACAAAAAGAAGTTTTTTAACATAAGTTTAAGACACTCTGTAGAGTGGCTAAACCGTATATTGTTTTAAATTCGGTTTTAATTATCAAGTCACATCCATTTTTAACAGTTTTGTTTTTGGTTCACCTTGATATATTTATTTATGTGGAAAATATGGATTTTTTAAAAAAACATTGCAATTTCCAATATTTTTTTGTACGAAGAACTAAGGTTGCTATGGTCCATCCATAGCCTATGGAGGATGACAGTGACAGTTTTGTTGAACCATCCCAATCATTATTATTTAAACTTACATCAATTTTTTTAGTAATTTTTTAAAATTTACATTGTTCTTTAATATTCGTTTGAATCCGACATCAAATAAAAAAGTTATTTGCGATTGAAATTCATCAAAAATTTGTGTGGATCTATTATTTTGCCTGTGAGTGTAGTATATAGTTCTTATATTATAATAGATTGCATAAAAAAAAACGTCATAACTTTATTAGCAAAGTTTACCTTTGTATTTTGAATCGTCATCAAGAAATTATTTTCAATCTTTTTACAGAAATACTTATGCTTAAAATTAAACCTCTGTCGCGTACTATTAATAATATTTGGCAGGTATTCTTAATTCAAACTAAATTTGACAAATTTTATACCTTTGGAATAAACTAATTTACAATTTTTGTATAATTTAACATGTTTGGTGTTTTTGGTTAATGTTTAAATAATATTTATTTCTGATTTTAGAATGGACAAGAAATCATTGACAATATACCCAGTAATAGCTCCGATCCAGATGATTTTTTATCCTATTATCAAGGTAATTTTATGCTTTTAACTTGATCAATAATTGTAATTATATGTTTTTTTACTTAGGTGTCGAGGGTAGGCCAGGTGTTGATTTTCCAATACTATCTCATATTCCAAGGACTAACTTTAATTGTCGAGAAGTAGATTCTGGTTACTATGCAGATCTAGAAACTGACTGCCAGGTAACTACGACAATAATTATCATTTTCTTGATTTTTAAAATCATTTTTTTTAGGTTTTTCATATATGCGAAGACGGCAAGAAAATCTCATTCCTATGTCCAAATGGAACAATTTTTCAGCAGTCGGATCTCATTTGCGAATGGTGGACAAAAGTAAACTGTACTAACTCGCCAAACTTATATGATGAAAGTGCTGAAAAGTGGCAAAACCAAGCTCTAAAGCGTAAAGCATCTAGAAGAGTTTTTCTGGATGGTGATAATAATCATGGCGCAATACTAAGAACTGAAGAATTATCGTCTGTAACTGCAATAAAAAATGGAAAACAAGTTGATTTTAACGTTGAGAGACATGAGGGTCGTGGTAGAGAAGAAAAACAAAGAAACAGACCAAGAGCGAATGATAACGAGGATGAATATACTAAATTTGAAAATCGAAATAAAAACTTTTATTATAATTCTAACAACTATGGAGATCCAAATGAAGAAGTAAAACCTAAAAGTAAGAGTAGGGTTACCTACAATGTCAACAATAATTACAACTCAAATCAAAATAATAACAATAATGGCGATTTAAACCAGAAGGTTAAATCTAAAAGTAAAAATGGAGTTAACTACAATCTGAACAATAATTATAACTTAAATCAAGATAATAACAATAAGCAGGGAGAACCAAATAAACTTAATAATAATGCAGACAAAGTATTTATATCAGCTGGAAGAGTAAAAACTCTTAGACACAATCATAGCCGTAAAAATATCAGAAATGATTCTAACAAAATTAAACTTACCCTAAGTACATCTATATCTTCAAGTGGACAGGCCAATAATCAACATAATTTAAAAACAAATAATCAACATCAAGGTAAAAATATAAAACTTATAGCGAGTAATGTTGATAATCACGCAAACGTAGAAAGTAGAAAATATATTAGAAATGAGGAAGAAAAAATAAATAGATCAAATATCCCTTCAAATAGAGGTGGTTTTAAATATAACCAAAATCCAGATTACATTCAAGGACTTACTAATGTAATAGGATCTTCAAATAAAAATGCACAGAAAATAGAGAAACCTTCACCTGTATATAAGAAGGAAGAATTACGTAGTACTATTCCGGATCACGTTAACAACTATTATGCTTCTAGTACGCCTATAGTCCCAATTTTATCGAATGATGAAGATTTTAAATTTCCATTACACGATAGCGAAAACCCTAAACAATATTACAGCAAAGTTGATATTCAAAATAAAAACCAAGTAAAACAAGAAAGCACCGTACCATTGACCAGAAATGATTTATACTCCAAAAAAGTTGAAGCTGATTTAAATGAGGAGACCCAAATTACAGAAGAATCTTCTTCGTTTTTTAAAAGTCCTTTAAACACAATTCAGGATAGTTTAAATAAAATTTCCACACCAAATCCATATCCTAATCATAGAACAACATATTCAGATCTTAAAACCCCCGATTATTCCAGTACCAAGTTTTCCAAAACTATAAACTCAGTTACTCCACAATATCTTACAACACAACCAATAAATAATGGAAAACCCTTCGTTGGTAGTAGAGTTGGCACTTCTCTATCTGGAATGAATGGGATAAATGTTAATCCCACAGCTTCATATAGACCAACAACATTACAATCATTTAAAGTAAATACAGAAAAATCTTCCGTATATAGTTCCAAATCAACGTCAGGTCACCCCAGGAAATATGCATTTAACCTTGGACAAACTGAAAAATATACTTCCCCCAGTACAACTCCTATACCGTCGACAACATACACTTTACCACGAACCAGCTATTTTAATGGTGAAAAAACTAGTCTTTCAGAATTAACATCTAAAGATATTTATACTAAAACTCCACTAAGCCTTTTTGTCCCAGATAAATTTGACTTAGGTTTAAATTCGTCATCTTCACCCAAAAAAATAAATCATGTTAAATTTAACTTGGGGCTAGGCAAAGTTAATGTAACCCATGATACATCAGTATCGGAGCCAAAACAACCTGTTGATCACCAGATTGTTTACGGTAACTTCCCTAAGATTATACGCACAACGACCTTGCCTTCTTTTGATATTAACCAAGGCGTCCAAATTAAATTTGATAAAAACTCCAATAAAGTCGCCATTCAGCTGGCTAAAGCAGTCGCTAGCACGTCCTCTTTAGGAAGTGTAACACCTTCTACTACAATAGACAAATTCCCAGCGACTGTTTCCAGTACTCCTAACCCGTTATCAAGTTCAAGCAGTGGATTTACTTTAGGGGCTGAACCTAGTTCATATTATGGTAGAAATATTGTACAAAAGCCTAGACCATTTGAAAAGTATAATGAAAATAAATTTGGTTACAGTACTGCTAATTTTAATTCGGTAACTCCAACCTACCCAACTTACAAAATATCAAGTGCTAGTCCTTTTACTGTAGCTCCAACCCTTCCTACTACTGAAAAGGGTTCTGATATTTCTACCAAAGGAAATTCTGTTTTTGAAAATGTCGATAACATGATAAGCGTTCTTAAGGAAATCGTTAAAACAGAAGAGCAAAATGATTACGAAAACGAAACACCAAGACCTGGTTTGATAGTACCTCCCTCAGTGGGCCCTCAGACCTTGCATACTTTGGCTCAATATTTTGCTAATGCTTTGGATGGTATAGCTGCCGAAAAAGAACGAAACGGAAATACTGAAGTAAGTGCCGAAATGGAAGAAAAATATGACTCTGCAAAAGAAAGTCTTACTGCCTTGCTTACAAAAATGACCATGGAGAAATATAAGGATTTGTTTAAAAAATATAATGAAACTAAAGTGGAAATAAATACTAAAAATACAGACGAGAACAGTGAATCTCTTCATATGGAGCATTCAACCAATTTCGTTGAAACACCCCATATAAGGCAGTTAGCTAGAAACTTTTCATTAGCTTTATCATCATATTTGGACGATCCAGTTACATTTAGAAAGGATTTAAAAGAACTTAGACCTACTGAACCTCCATTAATAAATGACGTAGAAACCGCTACAGAAAATGTTGCCGACGAGGAACTTCTAAACTTTTCTGATGCGGACTCCAAGTCCAGTTATCCACCAATATTCCCCACTGTACCCTCTGCTGTGCCGACTTGGGGTTACATATTAGCATATAATATTTCAAAAGAAAATAACAATAATAATAATTATGACATTAAAAACTCTTTAAATCCGGACTTACAAAGCGCTGATAGTCAATCATTTGTACCTGGATTTAATAACATAAACAGTGATGTTAAAAAACGCAAAAACCTTACCACTGATTTACCTCAAAATCATTGGACATCATCCCCAGATGCTACAAATTTACTTAAAACTACTTTTGGATTAAATCCAGTATCCTTAAATACACACTTTGGTACTACTGTAAGATCCATAGATGAGAATGATAGCGACAGTTTTGATACAAGTAAAGATAATGAAGAAATCAATGAAAGTATTTCCGAAGAAATCTTAAACAGCAAAGAACCGTTTTTACATAAACCACAAAGCGAAATCAACTACGAACTCAGACAACTTCCTTCACTTAATCTAAACTCAACTCAAGTTCATGGTATACTTATTGATTTCATGAACAACACAAAATCAGATAATTTTAATAGGTTGCAAAGAATTTTACAGAAATTAAACACTACTGAAGACGAGTTTTTGGTGAAAATGAAGGAAATTGAAAGCAATCCACTTACAAAAAGGTTAATTCTTCTTTTGATTAGCGAATGTGGGGCAAATATAAGCAACGGTTTTAGAAATGAAGAATTAAGCCCACTTTTAAACGTTCCTGATGAGGATCCTTCCCATTTAATAACCAGAAGTACAGCTGAAACCCCAAGAATTAAAAATAGCAATATTGCTGATTTGGTAGATCCAAATATAGCTGCAGAAGATCATGATGCTAGAGCATTACAACTATTAAATTCCTTATATTCCATAGCCTCAAGATTTGGTAAATGAGATTTAGGTTTAAGTTAATTTATATTTATGTGAATATGCTCATTTATCTTCCAAAATTTAACTATTGAAGGTTTAATTTATTTATTTGTTATCCTTCTCTTTTATAAAAGAGTCAGTTAAGTTTTTGGTAAAGATTTTTAGTAATAAAGTGTGAATGTTATGGTTTGTATTTTTGATTGGGTGATATTAGTTAGCGCTTATTTAATTCTGCTTGCGATTTGTACATTTCCTATTAAGATTAAATGGTGTATTACAATACAAATCATAGACTAAGGTAGTTTGTAGATCTATACTCATATTTTAAACGACTATGTATATACATTTGTAAATAAATTTTTATATTAAAATTGTGTTTTATTTTTTTATTTATTTTATTTTATTAAACACATACCTAAACTGATTTTTTTCTTTGTGCAATAAATTGGTCAAAAATTTTTTTTTATTTTTAACATACATCGTCACCAAATTCACGAAGTGGCGTATATAAAGATTTAAGTTATGCAAAAAAGCAATTTTTTGAAATAAAAGTTTAGCATACTATACTAACACTTATTCCAGAAATTTGCTTTTTTGCATAACACAAATCTTCCGATACGGGTGTTTGAAGTTTTGTGTTATGCAAAAAAAAACAATTTTCTGGAATAAACGTTTAAAATTATAAACGTTTATTTCAGAAAATTGCTTTTTTGTATAACTTAAATCTTCATATACGCCACTTCGTGAATTTGGGGACGATATATTTAAATAATATATTGTAATAATGGTAATTGGCAAGAATTTCGTTTTGACCAATGTTTAGGGCATGATTTTAAGGAAACGGTTCATCTGACGAAAAATTTTATTTAACCTTTTTTGTAGAGCATTTAATTTTCTTAAAAAAATATTTTCAAGTAAATTTTGTTAAACTCAATGGTTTGGGAGTTCTGAGACAAAAACTTGCGATGATAGACCTCTTAATAATAATATTATGGACTCAAACTTTCACAATATTTTTTTTTGTCGCCCCAAACCATATTTTCGATATACTTTAAAAAAAAATAGTTGATTTTTTGGCCCAGTCTAATATATATATATATATATATATATATATATATATTTACGTTTATGGAATTGTTTAAACACAATTGTTTTAGCTGCATAACATTGCTGTATTAGAAAATAAAAAGGTGATAAAAACGTTATTAAAACAGTAAAATTTAATTTAAACTTTGCCTTTAAGCTGGATAGGTTGATGGCGTTAGGTACTACTCTACTTTTTTTTTAATTTAAAATTTACCTTACATTTTCAAAAAGTGCTTTATTTATCTTAATCCATTTGCGCCGATGCTTTCTTTGGCAATAGGATAAACAAGGTTCTTCTATGGACAAAACATTTCTTACTGTTAAACCTTTCCACAATCGCCAAAATCATCAACTTTTAGAGAAAGGTAAGAAAAAGACGACTGCATCAAAAACTGCCAAATTTGTATAACCTTTTTTTGGTTTTTATAATTAGGCTTCACAAAATGCTAGCGGCAGTCTTACCTTTTTGGAGAGCTTTAGGTCGTAGGTTGACGAAGGAAAGAATTGGTTGTGTTTATCATCACTTAATATAAATAAAATAATTTGTCAGGCGCCAGAATATTTAATGGTATAAAACATTCAAATTTATATTTATAATAATCAATACTTAACAAGTCCTCGAAGGGCTAAAACGTAAAATAATTCCAGAATGAATGCACTTTAATGATTCAATTTATACTTAAAAATACTTTGATGGAATTTATATTTAACATTTATACTCAGTTAATACTGTACAATTTGGCTTTAGAGTTTAACAACAATGTTTAAAAAGGGCTGGAATCTGTAAAACTGGCAAAACTAAAATGATTTTTATTGACCAATGCTACCACATACCACATACATAAAAAAATCTGAAGCACTGGACCTTGGTACACTTTGGTCAAGACGATCAAAGTTCAAATTTTGTTTCCTGTGTTTTGAAGAAATTATATTTGGCTTCTAAGTGCTCATTCATAATGGACGTAACCATAAGATGTCCGTAAAACGTAAACATAATATCACCATAATTTGTACGTAACGATGAGTTGTGTTTATAATGAACGTATGCCTTATGTATATATTACTAAGGCGCGCATGTCCAAGTTCACTAAAATGGCAGCATTGACAGATTTCGTCTAATTATTATGTCTTAAAACTTAAAAGTTTTAAGACATAATAATTATAATTATATATATATATATATAAATTAAGTTATCATAACCTTAGTGTAATACGTTGGCAAAGAGAAGAAGTTTGCCCACAACCGAAAATAAGCAACGGAAACCTCGTCGGTGGAGTGTAAAACCAGTGAATAGGGACAGAGAAAAAAAGGGTGAATTTCGTCGAATATTACTCGAACTAAAACTTTAGGATAAGGAATGGTTCTTTAGATTGTTTGTTATGTGGATACACCAGAATACACTTGAAAAAGATCTGTTATCTGTTTGCATGGCTACTACCCTGATTGCTACCAACAATGTTCTAGTGAAATCATGAAAATTACTAAAATTCACACATAAGAAACCCGTAAAGTTGAGATGATTTCAACTTTACGTATTTTTTACCCATAAGATCTTATGTTCGAACTTAAAACGTAAAAATTACGGCTACTCATTATAAACAGGCACACTGGTTTTGTTAATATTCAACTTTACGTTTTACGTATTTCTTACGGGCATCTTATGGTTACGTCCATTATGAATGAGCACTAAGCTGGACTGATTTGAACCCTATCGACTATGGAGTGGAATCTTGGAGGAAAATATTTCAAGATGTCAGTACGGCTCTGAGAAGCACGTGGGATGAAATTACAATGGAACAGTGCGGGACAATAAGTGGGAATTTCCAAAAGTGCCTTTACAAATGTATTGAGTAGCACATTTTATGTAAATTTTAAATTGAATATAAATTTTATTGTTTTAATAAAGTTCTTTATCACTTAAAAGTACATTTTTATTAACTAATAAAGCAACTTCATGCAACTAAAATGTGATAAAAATGCCGAGAACTTTTATCGCACCCTGTTTATATAGTGTGCCTTTTTTCCCCAAAAAAATCCTTAAAAAAGTCGATTTTTCTTTTCAATTCCGCACATTTTGATGGTAAAATTTTCATATTTGCCTCCATTTTTGTAGAAACTATGACGGCATCGGCCGTTTTTTTAAATTTTCTCATCATGAAAATTATTTTGAAAATGCTTTAAATGAATAGGTACTATGATGGACATCCCATCCGGTTTTATCGTTCTCTCTCTGACCTTGCCGCGAATTCAAAACAACTAATAAAAAGTCGCTAGGCACTGTTGTAAAATCTACAATATTATCTATTTAATTCAAAATGCTTACTTTGTCTTGCCTGATCTGCTTTTGCCGTCAGTGGGTAGTTGAATCAAGTATCGGTGATTTTTCGTTTTTGCGATCGAAAATTTGTTTTCAGTTATATGTATGATGTATTATTCTAGCGGTCATTTCAGGACTCTTGGATAAAAATTCATATTTCTACAACCTTTGAAGTCAGCGTCTTAATTTTTTTTTAAACTTTGTCAATGTTTTGACTACATTTGACTCGATATATATGTATAGAAATTTTCAATAATTCACATAGCTCGCCGCAGGGTAAAGTTTTTGATGCAGGATATTGATATTTGAGATCTGGTGTTAGATCAAAAGCTGTCAAAAATAGTCGTGGGAATACCAGTCCCAGAATTTAAAGTATTTATGACCTTATATAATTATTATTATCAAATTGGAGAGGTTTAGAGGGAATTTGATGATCATCAATACTGGACTACTGGACTCATTCGCCATTTCTTCAACGCAGATTAGTGTAGAGTCAGGGCAATGGATACATTACAAACCTCTTTCATCTTTAACCGATCAAGTACCTGTTGAATTTGTTATTTCTGGAATAGGTGATGAATATTTGGATCTATTCCATACTTTGTTGCATATAGAAGCAAAAATATGTAAACAAGATAATTCAAATTACACAAACGCAAAGAGGGTGAAAAAACGATTGGTCCTGTAAATAATCTCCTAAATTCAATGTTTAGTCAAGTTGATGTTTATTTAAATCAAAAATTAATTTCTTCACCGAACAACACATATGCATATAGATCATATGTAGAAACATTACCTAATTACTGCCCAGAGGCCTCAGATTCCCATCCCACTTCAAGTATATGGTATTTATATACAGCTAGATCAATGGAAGAAATAAATGCAAGTAATATAGGACATACAAAAAAGTGTAAGTTAACCGCATCAAGAAAAACGTCGATTTAATTGGTCCTATTTAATCAAGAAAAGTTTTTAATGAATGGTCTACGTGTAAAATTAGTTAGATCAAGAAATAATTTAGTTTTAATGGCTCCTGCTAAGGATGAACCAAAACTAAAAATCATAGATGCAACCCTTTTAGTAAGAAGAATGAAAATTAATCCTTCTGTATTGCTAGCACATGCTAAAGCCTTACAATTAGCATCTGTTAAATACCCTATAACGAAGGTTGACGTTAAAGTTTTAACTATATCCGCAGGCATTCAAGGAAAATCATTAGATAATATTTCTGGGTCAATTACCAAAAAGGTGTGTCATTGGCTTTGTATCAAATAGAGCAATTTTATTGAAATAGATAAGAAAGAAATGTAGTGATTGAATACAGTAGTTATATCATATGTATTAATTATCCTTATATTATAAAAATTTCGAAATAAATGCTACTTTAAAACTTTTTTTTTTTATAAGCACCTGTACCTAAAATATGTTAAGCATAACTGTATGAACTTTCAATGCACAAACGTTAAAATTATGGAATGTATTTAGAAGTTATAAAATATTTACGTAGATTTTTATTTTGTATTTTTCCTAATTGGGAGTTTACCCTATACATCAAATACCCATTGGCAATGATAATTAATGAAGATACTGATTATATGCCTGGAAGCCATTGGTGTGCTGTGTTTATTGATAATAAAGGTGATGGGTGCTATTTTGACAGCTTCGGAGGACCTCCTAAATATGCTATACAAAAATTTTTAAATAAAAATTCCAAAGTTTGTTTTCGACCGTATGTGGCCAATATTGCATTTTATGATTAGTGTGTTTAAGTAAGAAATATAGATTAAATAATTTTTTAGATATGTTTTCATCTAATACATACAAAAATGATGTAACTATAAGAAAAATGTTTCGTAAATTAAATAAAAAACAATTATCTTAAATAAGATTTTTTATTATTTTTTTCTCAAATAAAATATCACATGGGTAAGTAAAAAACTATATA